GCCGCTGCAGCTCCCGGCTGTCTCCCTCCCACGCCTTCCGGACCTGCAGGTAGGCCGTGTTGGCCATCAGGTTGTCCAGGCCCCCCATGTCCGCCATGGCTGAGCACAGGGAAAGTAAAGGCGGGATGGAGGGCTGCGGGGGACTCGGCCGTCGGGCTGCCCGCTGGCTGGTTTGGGTTCCCAGGTTCAGTAACTCCCGGGGATTTGCAGGGAGGCCTCTGGTCTGCGGGTGGGACTGGCGGGGCTGCAGAGAGAGGTTTCCCAGGTAAGAGGCTTTGCTGGCTATGTATAGTTGGTCAGGGAAGGGCACCTCGCAGGTGCCTCCTGTCCTCGGAGGCCGCGGCAGCCTGAGACACCTGCCAAGGCTCCTGGGGCGTTACCTGGCCTCCCGCTACACACACCTGCTCCCTGAACACACAGCAACCAGGTTCCAAGGGAAGGGGTCAGAGTGAGGTGGTGCCACGTGTGTGTTTTCAGCTGTTTCTAATTTTACACGTTTCCTAGCAGCCTCAAGCTCTGTGAGCCCCGGAATGACAGGTCAGGAAGAGGACCTGGAGAAGCTGGAGAGCTTTTCCTCCTGGCAACCAGCAGCCTGGGCAGAGCAGGCTACAGAAGAGGGTGCTCTGAGCCCAGGGTCCTGAGACCTGTCCCTGGAGGCCCTCGGGGACTCGTGGCCTCACAGTGTGTTGTGCTCTCCCATAGCACCCTCCCACCCCCACCCCCCACCCCTCCGAATGGTCTGCAGAGGTTGTCCAGTTGTGGCTCTCTCAGTTCTGAGGAGTCTGTGGCCTAAGGTACCGGATTAAAAAAGAGGGAGTCACCTTGACCCCAAATATCCCACAAAGTGACACAAGCAGGTAGAGCACACCAGTGCACACATGTGGCCAAGACCGTTCCTGGGGCACAATCTGAGTGCAAGGGAGCCTTGACGTGAGGCCCAGGGTAGGCAGGTTTCAGGGTGGCCCCTCAACATCTCTGCCCACATCCCTCGAGGAGCCAGGAGGCTTCCCTCCACCGAGATCGCTCAGAGCCGCCCCAGACCACGACCTCACAAGAACAGAAATTGGTTTAGACAGAGATCAGCCTGAGAACCTCTGCTCCAAAAATAACACTTGTGTCCTACAGGGAAAGAATACTCAGGCTTTTTCTCCGTAAAGGAAGGCTAAGGCAGCTTGAAAACAAAGTCATTCAGTATTATGCCAAAGTGCTTAAGAGAGGAGAGGGAGAGAGAGAAAAGAGAGAGAAAGAGAGGGAGAGAGAGAGAGAGAGGGAGAGCGAGCCAGTTTTTCTCCAAACAAACAACCTCTAGCGCACGCTCTGTCAAAACATCGCGGTGACGCCCCAGTCTGCGTGGCAGAGCCTGCAGACCGTAGCCCAGCACAGACCCACACTTGGCCACATGCTACCGAGAATTATGTAATGAACTCGTGGGCGCCCTTTGGCTCTGCACCGCTGCGCTGGGAACTGTCATCCCCGAGGCGGAGAGGGGCGCTCTGCGCCGTGACCACCGCTCGGAACTGTGCCAGACGCTCGGAAACCCACCCAAGAGATATTGGTACCTTTTTCGTTCTTGATGTGTCATCCCGGGTCCACATTTCTGAGTGAAAGATCAGTCTGAGAATCTCTCCAGAGAAGGAGATGCCTTTTCTCGGGGTCCTTAGGGACACAGTGACAGCCCGACAGGGCAGAACCTTGAGAAAAAGGTGGAATTGTCACTGAAAAAAAGTCTGCTTTTCACTGATGAACATATAAGCTACCAACTGCTTGATTCCCCTCATACAAATACTTTCTTTATCCCAGTTTTGTTCAATAGGGACATGCCGAACCACAGATGGAATTCAAGATGTCCTAGTAGCCACATGAGAAAGGTTAAAAGAAACAAGTGAAATGAACTTTAATAATGCATTTTATATAGCACGAGATATTATCATTTCAACATGTAATTGATGTAGAAGCTGCTAATGGGATATTGCACAGCCTTTTCTGTGTTCTGAGTGTTTAGAATCTGCTTTGTATTTTACTCGTACCACACATCTCAATTCGAGCCAACCCCTTTCAGATGCTCAGTAGCCACATGTGGGCAGCGGCTGCCTTATTAAACAGCTCAGACTTAACCCCTCTTTTGGTAGCTTTATCATTCATAAATAAAAGGAAGTTTGTCGTATTTTTGTTTGTATTCTAATTAGTGATAGCAAAGACTATCTGGGTAAAAAAAAACACCACACTCTGTCGGTAACTGAAAATGACCTGACTAATGAGAACAAAATTTAGATAATAATTTGAACACAAAATTTCGATGTTATAAAATGACTATTTGTTGCCTCCTGGGAATTGTAGAGTATCATTATTTTAAAGTCTTAGCCACCTGAAAAAAAGAGGTCTATTTAAAACAGAACATTTTATGTGGTTGCTAGCAATTAGGGTTGAGGTCCCAACTTAATGAAATAGCCATTGTCGATCCAATTAAAGAACAGCATTGAGTTCTTAGCTTAGAAGCAGAGCCAAGTGCTGAGCACAGTCAGGATACCCTGCACCAATGGGGACAAGTGCCAGGAATCTTGGATTGGAGGTGTGACCATATGGTTATGAGAACTAACTTCAGCACTGCTTGGGAAAGCTGAGTCCTGTTGCTAGCAAGTCCTAGCTGTGCGATCTTCAGCATGTTACTAAACTTCTCTGAGCCTCGGTCTCATTAACTGAAAACAGAAAATAATGGAATAAGTTCTTGAGGGAAGTCAATGCCAAATAGTGCCTCTCACAACGAAGTGATATGTAAGTATCAGCTTTTAGATGATTACTACAATCATCATCACCTGATTCAAAAGTTTTTCTGATGCAGATTGGAGTCCTGAGCGACCTAAGCGATATGGAAGAAGTTGGGTTCCTCTGTCCAATGTCCACCCTGCAGAGAGCAGCCAACTCAGAATTTCGCATGAGCTTGGAAAGCTGTGGGGCCTGGTGGAACTGGAAGACAGGCAGATTAGATTAATCAACATGCAAGATTTCTAACAACGAACTATTGCAACTAAATGATTTACTATACACCCCCCCCACACACATACACACACACACAGAATGAAAAGAGGAGATATTTCATTTTTGAAAGGAGAAAATAAACTTTTATGATAGGAGAAAACAACACAAATATTTTAGTATCTTTTATGACTAATTTTGTAAGCTAAAGAAAAAAAAATGCTTTTTGCCCAGATCTTCCATGGGATTTTGCATCATGAGGTGTAAAGCATTGTCTGTGATGTATATGTCCTCAAAGTTTACAATGCCCTGATGTCATTCAACATTTGAAACAAAAAGAACATAAAAAGTTTGTTAACGATTAGAAATAGGGTATGCTTAATTTGCTTCCCTTTCTGAGAATTTTAAATTTTGAAAATACACCCTAGAAGAAGGAAAAGAATAAAGCAAGGTTTCTAGTAAGAGCATGACCTTCTTTTACAATGCACACTGCACGGTCCAACAGCACATCTATTTGAGGATCAAGAATTATAAAATAGCCCTAACCGGTTTGGCTCAGTGGATAGAGCATCAGCCTGCAGACTGAAGGGTCCCGGGTTCGATTCTGGTCAGGGACACGTACCTCGGTTGCAGGCTTGATCCCCGGACCCCAGCCAGTGTGGGAGGCAACCAATTAATGTGTCTCTTTTACATCGATGTTTTCCTCTCTCTCTGTCTGTCTCTCCCCCTCCTTTCCATTCTCTCTAAAAATCAAAGGAAAAATATCCTCAGGTGTGGATTAACAAAACAAAACAAAAAGAAAGAATTATGAAATAATATAACTCAATATTATAAGCGCTCAGAAACAGAGATATTTTGAACAGTGTAAGTTCTGAAGCAGACTAATATGTTAGCATTAAGACATCCAATGGCCGAAACCGGTTTGGCTCAGTGGATAGAGCGTTGGCCTGCGGACTGAAAGGTCCCGGGTTCGATTCTGGTCAAGGGCATGTACCTGGGTTGCGGGCACATCCCCAGTAGGGGATGTGCAGGAGGCAGCTGATCGATGTTTCTGGCTCTCTATCTCTCTCCCTTCCTCTCTGTGAAAGTTCAATAAAATATATTTAAAAAAAAAAAAAGACATCCAATGAACCCAGATTATTCTTCAACTTCTGGTTTAAATTCTTCCATAGTAAAGATTTTGCTTTTTTTCTTTGAGTAGAAGACAAGTACCCAAAGGAAAAGCTGAGGGTCTTTATCCTTCCAACAACAGCAGACCACACTTTATATTTTCATAATTCGATAAAATCAAGGATGTCTTGTTGGTTAAAATTTTTTGCATACTAAACACAGAAGACATGGAGCTAGACGCATTTTGGACTATTGTTTCCATATGGTCACAGAATTTTTCTCACAAAAATTTAGTTTTCGCCGAAACCGGTTTGGCTCAGTGGATAGAGCGTCAGCCTGAGGACTGAAAGGTCCCAGGTTCGATTCCGGTCAAGGGCATGTACCTGGGTTGCGGGCACATCCCCAGTGGGAGATGCGCAGGAGGCAACTGATCGATGTTTCTCTCTCATCGATGTTTCTCTCTATCTCTCTCCCTTCCTCTCTGTAAAAAATCAATAAAATATATTTAAAAAAATTTAGTTTTCAAGCCCAAGATGAAGACAAAGAAACGATGAATGAGGAGGCAAGTCTGGAGGACAGTTTTGGCGGCGTCATGGGGTTGTGAGCCTAACGGGAGTTGGTTGAAGAAGGAAGGACGATGAAAGAGTGCGGGTTGCACCAGAGGCAGTGTGGCTGTGAAGAGAAGGAGAGAGTAGCCACGGGCACCCCCGGGGAGAGGGGAGCTATTACTGGTAGCTTGTGGAAAGCTGATAGCAGGACCCTGTGTAGAGGGCAGGGTGACCCTATGAGAACACATGCGTAAGGTTCCTGCAAAGACAGCAGGCGTCCAAAGCACCGGTGAAGGGCTTTTGGACTAAGGGGCTGCTCTCCAATTATAACACGAGGTTGGGTCTGGGGGCCAGGGTTTTGTCTGGTCACTCCTTTTAGCATAATAACTGCGACAGCCCGTGGTTAGAGGCCATCATAGAAGGAGGCACTACATCCCATGGGAGCATTGAGGAAGTAGCAATGAAGTTCTAGCTGTCAGGAAATGTCCATTGAAACCAAGCATTTTCTTTCAAATCCTTCAATGAAAGAAACTTTCTTATTAGGAACGGCAATATTTCCCAGAAATTTACAGATTTCCTGTTTTCAACTGAAAATGAGAGAGGCTTGCTGTAGAGAAGACGGTAGCCAGCACGTTTTTAATTATTGTAAGCATGTTTTCATGGTCTCTCTGCCCCCAGTCTTTCTTTAGCTCAAACCCATCTTCGACAGAGATGGACGATCTCTTTAAGAGCAAATCTAGTAATCTTAGTCTGCCAAGCATTTTTTTTTAAAGTTTTGACTTTTATTTTATTTATTTTAATATGTTTTTACTGATTTCAGAGAGTGTTAGGGAGAGGGAGACATAGAAACATCAAAGATGAGAGAGAATCATCAATCGGCTGCCTCCTGCACGCTCCCTCCTGGGGGTTGAGCCCACAACTGGGCCATGTGTCCTGACCTGGAACCAAACCTGTGACCTCTTGGGTTAGCACTCAACTACTGAGCCACACAGGCAGGGCCAAGCATGTTCTTATTTACTTCAAACATTATCCAACAGTCATAGACTGAGTTAAATACAACATACGTAACTTTAGTGTTGACCAGTCTAAGCTCTTACTGTACATGAAGAAAATTGATACCAGAAAAAAAAGTGCCAGGTTTGGATTAGGAACTTGGGATCCCCCTCTTCAGTGAAGGGCTTTTCTCACTGGGTCTGCCCCGGTGGCACAGAAAAGCTATGGGTCAAAAGAGTCCCGTCTGGACTGGAAGAAGCTGGGATTGGCTTTAGGAATTATTCTTGTGATTTGTTTCCTATCAAAATGGCAAATTTTCTAATTTTAAGGTCGGTGTGGTATCATGGTTATAACGCTACGCATCTAGTTCAGCTCTATTTTAATTGCTTCTGAAACAATTAGCATGCATTCAAAGGAAACATTACTGTAACAACAGGAATTCTGACCTTCCTTAAAAGCCATACCAAGAATACACATGGAAAAATTTTGCTTTGAGGCTACATAACATAGAATAAATTTCAAATGCTTTAACTGGGACCATAGAATCCGCAGACCTGTTTAAAGTTTCTTGCTTTCATCATGAATTAAATTCATAAATAATGAATCTTAGGATTCATAATCTGGCATAACATAAACATCTTCCTCTTTAAACAGGACTCTAATTGTTTTAATAATGACTACATACCCATAACAGAGGATAATCTTCTTCAACAAGGAGCCACAGTAGCTGAGAGAGAAAGTTAAGTAATTGGTATATTTTAAGAAAACAGAAAATACTTCCTGACTAGAGAGATTCAACTTGCAAATGTATTATGGCAGATGTACAAAAGAAAGTGTGTCCATAAGTGAGATTTAAAAAAATCTATTAAAAGTAGATTTTATTAAAGCAGTCTAAAAGATTATTAGAGAAGACCAAACAATACAGTGCTAACAACAACAAAACAAAATAAAGTCCACAAAGCATATACTTTGATATGTACGAAAAATGTGGGAATGAGTTGTAAAATTTCTTGTGGTTATAATAAAAAAATGGGGATGAAAGTCAAAGTTATTTTCATTGGAACACACAAGACTATTCTGGAATGGAGAAGTACTCAGTGTTTGCTACAAATTTTGGTAAATCTGCTTCTGAAACTTTCTTTTTTCATATTCAGCGAAGAATAAAAATAATTGAGAGTTGAGAGAATAAGGGGATTATAAGGAAACGTGAACAAATTAAGCATTAGACCACAGCTAAATGTCCACTAGTGGGGTGAGGGAAGTTATGTTAAAAAATATGTTAAAGTATATAAACACCATCAAATTTAATAAGCAGTAGTAACATTAGAGTCACTTGGTAATAGCAAATGAGATGAAAGCCTTATTTCTCTATAGAGGAGGGAACATAATAGAAGGCTGACTCTGCATGTGTTATGCTAGAGAAAACCAGATTCAGTTGGTGAGATTTAAATATCATTCATTGCAAGTAATGAACCTGATGTATAAAAGGAAATTAGTAAAGCTAGAATTGAGTAGTAAAATCAACACAGTTCTCCTGGCAAGGCTTTCATTTGTGTATTCAGTCTTATTCATTCATCCCACAAAGAAGAGAAGAGAAGAGAAGAGAAGAGAAGAGAAGAGAAGAGAAGAGAAGAGAGAAGAGAGAGAGAGAGAGAGAGAGAGAGAGAGAGAGAGAGAGAGAGAGAGAGATCAGGCACTGTTCTAGGCACAGGGTATGCAACAGTAAAAACAGACAAAAATCCCTGTCTTTATGGAGATGACATTTTAGTGGATGAGACTGTCAATAAACAAAATATGTAATATATTAAATTGTGGTATTATAAACCACCCCAAAACTTCAAATCCTAAAATAATGATTTACTATTTCCCATCATTCTGAGCTTTGATTGTGCAGCTCCTTGCCTGTCTGACTCATGGGCCTGCATTCCTGTCTCAGCTGGGAGAGCTGGGGCGCCACTGGAAGTTTCTGCTACAATTTTAACAGGCTCCTAGACTGAAGGCGGTGAGGTTAAAACTAGAAAAATCCGTTTGGAGCCTAGGTCAGTGGAGGGGTAGGAGGGTTTGCGTGTGAGTTGAATGTGGGATGTGGCAGAAAGCAAAAGGACAAGGCTGATTCCAAGTTTTGGGGCCTGAGTCACTGGAAGGATGAATGCCCCACATCTCAGCTGGACACCCTCTGGAAGAGCAGCTGGTGGAGATGCTGAAGAGCTCCGCCTTGTACCTGTTCAGCTTGCACTGCCTGTGAGGCATCCGAATGCAGCTCTTTGTCTGCTGGGTCTGTGGGGCTGGAGCCCAGGGAAGAGGCCTCGGCTGGAGATCCTCATGGGGGGTCGCCCAGTATATAAACGGCCGTGGGACTCGATGCGACACTCCGGGGTAAGAGCAGGGAAGAACCGTAAGGACTGAGCCCTTGCAGTTGGGGAGGTGAGAAGTGCAGAGGAGAAGGAGGCAACCCAGCAGAGGACGGTGTCCTAGCAGCCAAGTGAAGGAAGGGGGTCAAGAAAGAGTGATCTGCCATGGCAAATGCTGCTGGCAGGTCAAGAGAACTATAGTTAGTTTTATTTACTGTGTGTTGTTGTGAAGCTAAAAAGGAACATTAAATGGAGTGAAAATTTTTTATTATATTTAGAAAAATGGATACCTAACAATGAAATGGTATTCTGTGCACAAAGAAAAAGAACTACCAAACATCTAGCAGTGTAGTCAGGTGAGTGGCACACTGGCATTTATTCTCCTGGAGGACAAAAA